GCTTTTCAATTACTCTTCTGACTTTCATTTTGCTTTTATTTACATCTTCAATTGTGTTCTGCAGTCAAACACTATCTTTATCTTATGTTTTACACTACCGTTTTTAATATTATAAAATTATGAAAATTCTTAAGGTTGGGACCTTTTCACCTTTGGAAATCTACTCTTGTTAGATGGTATTTTAATACAAAATTCTACGGTTTTCAACATGAGAAAATTTGTCTGAATTTTTTAACTTTTAGTTCTTTGCATCATTTTATGATATCAATATTTTTAAGAAATACAGACGTCTATAAAAGAAATATACTACTCCCTCATTTCTTTATAATTGACGTTTTTAACTAAACCATCTCTCTCTTACTCGACATTTGCTCTTGTCTTTTCTCTTCCATGTTTCTTGACGCATATCTCCTTTCTCTTTTCTCTACTGTCTCTCATCTCCTCTCTCACTTTTCTATGGCCCTATATACATATTAAATTTATTCAGTATTTCACACATTGTGTATGTAACGGGGAAAACAAATTTTTCCACCTGTGAATCAGAGGAAGAAGTAAGTCAAGGAGAAATAAAATATTATTTATTAAAAGTATACAAAGCGTTAAAACGTCAATTATAAAAAAAAGAGAGAGTATAACATATTACACCTAAAAAATTGTTTTAATGTGTACACAGCTGCAGATGATTAAACTTTAAAATTATAATCAGATGTTTTAACATGACATGTGTCATTTCTGTTTTTCTTCAGCCTTCTCTGTTGAGGCAGTGGAAGGTAAATGGCCAGGTCAGCTTCTCAAATAATCCCAAGTCAATCAACAAACCGCCCACTAAAACAAATATTTCCACATGGCAGTTTTCTAAAATCAGCTCCGCCATGTGCAGCCACTAATTAGAAAAGAAATAAACAAACCAAGCTGTGGTCCAGCTGATAATTGGTCTCCCATGGGCAAACTTACTGCAATGTTAGAGGTTTGAATCTCATTGGAAATAGCTTGTGGTCAGGAGAAGTTACCCGAGGCCCCATTGGGAATTAGTCAGCACACTGAAGTCTGAAGAGCAAGAACAAAAAAAGGGGCCAGTTAAGTAAAATGAAAAAAAAAAATTCAGAAATTCGAGAGAAAATATGTGATTACTCTGTGTTAGTTTTCCGGATGCAGGTAGATATTGACTTAAGACTTTACAAAGATTAGAACAATTCTTAGATCAATGAAATAAATTCTGTTTTTCTTTGAAAATTAGGGCTAAAATGACTGTATATGAATGTAATAAGAGTGTTATAATATAGGAAATCTGAATGGTCAATTTACATCGCAACGGGTTTTTAACAGAGTGCTCTGCCCGCATGCCCTGCCTTTAGAGTTTAGACAGATCTGTCTTCCTCTTCATCCTGTCCCTTCTCACTGATCATACTGATAATTAGCTAATTGCTTAGCTGTTTAAATCTTAAAACACAAACAAAAAAATAAAAAAATAAAATAATAATTAACAAATTAAGATACAAAATGAAACAGATTCCAAAACGTTAATATTTCAGGTAAAAGGAAAGCTCTTTTTTTTTTTTTTTTTTTTTTTTTTTTTTTTTTTTTTTTTTTAATGAACGGAGGTGTCTAAACTAATTTACGTGCATCATCAACTAATTCTTCGAGATTCTAGAACTATCGACCGGATAAAAGTTTCAGTGATTACCCTATTAGCAACTGAGGAGAAACTTGAATTCATGATATCTTAAGTAAAAACTTAAGAGTCTTTATTCAATCACTCGGTCACCCAAAATCCAAAGATAGAAAAGATCCTTCTTTCCAGTTTCTATCATTTTCTATTTGGGTTGGTTGTCATATCACTTTCACAATTTCTCAGACAGTTGGAGTATCTGGCCAACTAATTAAACAATCAATGTACTTCATGGAGCAAAGAAAGTTGAAGTATTATTTTATTGTAACTGGTAAAAGAGGCACCGTTGTTATTTGGCCCCCACATCCTTTTGGGTCATTTTAGTGCCGTTCAGAAGTTTCATCTCTTCTGTCAACAATCCGACCGCTTGGAGTAGGGTAAGTTATAATCCAGAAGATAATTGACAGCCCCACTCTTTTAGGGTCATTTTAGTGCGCCATCAAGTTTTCATCTCTTTGTCAAATTCCTATGATTTGAAGTAGGGTAAGTAAATCCAAGAAGATAGATGACAGTCCAATTAAATTGGAATTAATTTGTTTATACAATATAAATAGAGATTAATAGTTTACAATAAAAGCAGAAGATCAATAGAAGGGAAAATAAATAACCCACCATTATTTAATTCATATCATAAAACTGTCCAGGCACCTGCTTTGAAGTATTTCTAGTACTGATAATGCCCAGGATGAGATTGTGGACTTTCTGATTCATCTAGAAAATTCTTTCATCGAGTCTTTTTTTTTTTTTTTTTTGCTATTTTTAATCATATGGCGTGCCAAATGCGCTATTAAAATTTGCGGAAGTGGCCCGCAGCAGCCAGGCGTCACCTTATCGGCTTAAAATATTTGGCACTGGGGACGTCAATTCTGACCAGAGCCAGAGGCCTTGGAGCCACAGAGAAAAATAAAGAATCTTCCTGGTTGAGGAAAGTTTGTGATGAGGTAAGATTGACAGCGCTATCCACATAAACTATTGTATTAAGTGTAAATTAAGTTATCAATTAGTATATAAATGTTATTTTAATTACAAAATGGGGAAGTGAATTATGTGGCACTTTTCTTTGAATCAATTATTGTTAATATCCCACGTGCGGTCAAATTTGACGAATGCCCTAATCTTTGCTGTTCTGCAATATCATGGCACACCTGAACTATGTATTTTTGTTTGATTGTTATACCCTTAGCTTGAAAATGTACAAACAATGCTCCTCTTATCATTGTCCAAATCGTTCAATTAACGAGAGGCTTAATTTTAACAGTAAAGTATAGCATAATTGAAATTAATAAATTTTTGTAGTATAGATTTGACCTTGATGGGGAGGACTAGTCATTTTGAAATTTAGTTTGTGCTGATCTCTGTGATTTTTATCTTACGATGCATATTCAAATATTGTTGATATTGAGTTGGAAGAAAATGACGAGATTTGAGAATTGTTGAATAGGAGAATGAAATAGATTGTTTTGTATGCATATTGAATTGGGATTATCTTAGAATTTTGGATTCCTAAGAAAAGGGTATTTCTGATAATTTTTTAAACTAAAGATGTAAACTGATTAGGCAATAGTTAGGGGTATCTAAAAATTATCCACAGTAATGATTTTTCCAAAATCCAAAGCAGTCTGCTATTTTTTCATTTCCCTTCTCTAGGATCTTATATCAGATCTCACAACAATGAGAAGTCTTTTCTAGATAACAGGTGTTGCGGCAAACATTCTTCTCTGAACAACCAACAAACAAAAATTTCGTGCAATTTTTGCGAGATCATCAAGGTTAGTAGTTCAACAATGGAGAGGAACCTTCATTTTTCCACTACGCTTTAGCATTTTCATCTTTTTCACAATAATCAACTTGTTTTTAGAGAGTGATACCATAAATCCAGAAGGGTCCATCCAGGATGGTGACACATTGGTGTTTCAGCCCAAAGGTTGAGCTTGGCTTCTTCTCTCCTGGAAAATCAAAGAACAGGATTTGGGAATATGGTACAAGCAGAGCCCTGAGACAGTTGTGTGGGTTGCGAATAGAAACATCGATTCTTGATACCAATGGAAGTTAGTTATTAGTGATGATGGAAACCTTGGTCTTCTCAAATGAATAAAGGGGACCGTCTGGACTTTAAACATTTCTGGTGGAAATTAGAAAATCCAGTGGCTCAGCTTTTGGACAATGGAAACTTATTTGTTAAGGAATAATTTAGCTCCAAGCTTCTGAAAGCTCTTTGGCAGAGCTTTGACTTCCCAACAGACATATTGTTACATGAAATGAAGTTGGGTTGGACTTGAAGGGGGGTTTTGATCGTTATTTAACTGCATGGAGAAGCGCTGAGATCCATCTCTTGGAGACTATACTTCAAACTCGAAATTGATTTTGTTACTGAAATGGTAATCTACAATCGATCAGAGAAGTTTGCTCGGACTGGACCATGGAATGGAGCTTCTTTGGAGGCATTCTTACGAAGCCAAACTTGCTGTTTGAACCAATTGTGTGGACTAATCAAGATGAGTATACTTACAGGTACGAGTCTTTAACAATCCCATTGTCATGCTATAAAAGTAAATAATTCTGGTATGATACAATGGCAAAATGGAACGAGAGAGAGAAGTACTGGATGGGATAGTGTGTACTTTGCGCCCTGAAGATGTTGTGGGACATTATGGGCATTGGGGTAACAGTGTTTGCACATTGACGAGACTCCAATTTTGAGTGTTTGAAGGATTTGTGCCCAATTCACAGTCTAACCACCTTCATTTAACGGAGTGTGAGAGGGTTCGCCATTGGATTGTAAAGGCGGAGGGGTTTATAAAGCTTGATGGGATTATTGGCCTGACTGATAGATGTTTCTTCGAATGAGAGTATGAGTCTGAGGAATGTAAGGCCAAGTGCTTGAATAACTGTTCTTGCAAGCTATATTAATTTCCAATGAAAGGTGGAGGCAGGGCGTTTGGTGTGGTTTGGGGATTTGGTTGATATCAGAAAGCTGTTGAGAACAGAGGGACAGGATATCTTTTACGAGTGCCTGCTTCAGAACTGGGGGTATGTGTTTTTAATTCATAGTGGATTCTTCACTTTGAAGCTGGAGGACTTAAGTTGTTCTTGAATTAATGGTCTTTTGTTTTTGTTTCATTATTATTTTAATACATGTTGAGGACCTCAACTCCTGTCAATGAACTGGTGCCTTTTATGTGGGTAGTACATGCCAAATAAAAGCTTGGATTTCTTCCTCTTTGGTTTGTAAATCTCACGGTTTTCAAATATTTGTTTGATTATTGATGTTCTCCTTCATTGGGGTTTACGTATTTCTTCACTCATATCTTGTTTACTTGCTGTACATTAGATCCAGTGAAACGGAAGCTACTAGACTGGAAGACACGTGTTCGGATCATTGAAGGGATTGCACAAGGACTTCTTTATCTTCACGAATACTCTATAATGCGAATTATTCATAGGGATTTGAAGGTTAGCAATATTTTGTTGGATAAAGACATGAATCCTAAAATTTCTGACTTTGGAATTGCAAGAATATTTCGAGGGAATGAGTTACAAGCAATTACAAGACAAATTGTTGGAACTTAGTAAGTATAGTAAATGATGCATCTAAATTTAAAACTAGTACATGCCTCCTTAAATGAGTTATGGATGAATCTATTATCATAGATGAAGTAATTATACCGTACTGGTTCTTCGTCTACAGTGGATATATGTCCCCTGAATATGCCCTTCAAGGCATCTTCTCGATAAAATCTGATGTCTTTAGCTTCGGAGTGCTGTTACTAGAGATTGTTACTGGCAAGAAGAATACTGGTTTTTATCAGACTGACACTCTCAATCTTCTAAGTTATGTGAGTAACAAAAACTGAATTGCTTTTTATGCAGCAATAGCCAATAATGAATTTTATTTTCTTTTTAACTGATGTAATTTTTTCTGTGTGGATGTAAGGCATGGGATATGTGGACCAGTGACAGGGGATTCAAGTTGATGGATCCAGAATTAGAAGACGAATCCTCCGTGATTGTGCTACTAAGGTATGTTAACATTGGGCTGCTTTGCGTTCAAGAGAGTGCAAAAGATAGACCTACCATGCGTGAAGTCGTCTCAATGCTTATGAACCAAAGTGCAGTTTTGTCTTCTCCAAAACAACCTGCATTCTCATATGTAAGAAGTTGCAGAAGTGTAAAATCATATACTAGTGGGTCAGAGATGAATAATGTAACTCTTACAACTTTGGAAGCTCGTTAATTTAATGGATTGCTTTGTGATTGTATACTTGTAATTAAATGAAATTGCTATACATATAAATTTACAGATAAGTGCAAATGCATTTCCTCTTCAATTTGTTGACTCTGCTCATAAATTTTCTAATGGCAAGGTAGAAATGGCTTTATAGGAAAGGACTATGATTGAGTCACATTTGACAGTATATCACCTACATGGTAATAGAGAGTTCTGCCATTCATCTCCTTCTGCAAATAGACACAGATTTTGGCCTTGGTTCTAATCCTTGACAGCCTTAAATAGTTGGATAATAAATCTGAACCTAACTTTCCAGTTTTCACCATATCCTGCCCTTTTTGCACCATTTTATTAGTGATTGCATCATTTTACAAATTGTTGAATCAAGAAATTATTAAAGTAACATTTCAGGGAACACTACTGAAAGGGGATGAAGTAGCTGTGAAAAGTCTTTCCAGAAGATCTGGACAAGGATGGGAGGAGTTAAAACATGAAACAGTTCTCATAGCCAAGCTCCAACACAAGAATCTTGTTAGACTGTTGGGATACTGCATTAAAAAAGATGAAAGGATACTGATCAATGAGTACATGCCAAATAAGAGCTTGGATTTTTTCCTTTTTGATTTGTATTTATCACAATTTCGAATTTTTATTTGATTATTGATGTCCTTCCCTGGGGTCTACTCATTTCTTAGCTGTTATTTTTCACTGGCTGTACGCCAGATCAAACAAAAGGCATGTTGTTAGATTGTGGACTCAGTTCGAATCATTGAAGAGATTGCTCAAGGGCTTCTCTATCTTCACGAATATTCTAGATTACGGATTATTCATAGGGATTTGAAGGTAGACACAAAGCAGATAGTTGGAACCTAGTAAGTAAGCGGATTAAGACTCTTGCATGTCACATAAAAGCTACATACCTTAAAAAAATGCATGTATTTGTTAGCATGATTCATGAATAAACGAACCCATGTTGATTATTGAACTGAATGACATTGGCTTCATGTCTCCTGAATATGCCCTTGAAGGTGTCTTCTTGATAAAATCTGATGTTTTTAGCTTTGGAGTGTTGTTGCTTGATATTGTTATTGTCATGATGAATACTGGTTTTCATCAATTTGACTCTCTCAATCTTCTGGGTTATGTGAGTAACAGAAACGAACTTGCTTTTGTTATGCAACAAAATAGCCAATAATTAATTCTATTTTCTTTTTCACTGATGCAATTTCTTGTGTGTGTATCAAAGGCATGGATTATATGGACAAGTGAAAGTTGATTGAACTTGATGGATCTAGAATTAGAAGATGAATCATCCGATATTATGCTACCAAGATATGTTAACATAAGGATAGCTGCTTTGTGTTCAAGAGAGTGCAGACGACAGACCTACCATGTCTGCAGTCGTCTCCATGCTTAGCCATATGTGATTGACTGATTGTTGAATGATACTGTTATATGATTTACATATACTTGCTCCTCCATCTTCACATTGCACACTCATTAAATATACTATCTAAGAATATTCTTCTTAGTTAAATATACTTGTCAGTATTTGTTATTATCTTTTGCTACTCTAAGCCTTAATTAAAGAGACTACTGTCTTTACTCCACAGTGAAGAGTCTTTATATCTAGATGAAGTGAGTGTAAAGTCATTAGAAATGATAAACAAAAGAAGGACAAGAATGATAAAGCAAGTAGATGGGAACACATTGAATTTTGCTTCTTTCTTTATTCATAATGATAAAACTCTCCACACTGTATCTCTTACATGAAATTCGGCAAATATTTGTGTGGGATTATTTAATACAGCTTTTGAGTTTTGAGCAATATTTTTTGATGCTATTTCAGATACAGCGCCAAATTTGCCATTAAAAATTTGTGCAATTTGCCAGTTACAGCTTAGTATCAGCCATCTCCATTTCGATCTAATCTTAAACTATTATGATTTATGAGTGGAGACTTCAAGAATGAGCAAAAACGGAGGTCTTGGAGGGGACAAAGGAAAGAAGATAGTCTTGAGTTCGAGTCCCTTTTCGGGTGCTAATACAGATAACTACTGGAATTCTTATTCGACCTGTAATTTCAAAGTCTCGAAGATTAGTTGAAGTACGCGTAAGCTGGTTTGGACACTCTCGATCATTAAAAAAAAAAAAAAGTATGAAATTTTTTATATAATATTTGTAAGTGTAATATTATTCATAAAGATATATTTAAAGTATAAATACGTAAAAGCATATTAGAGATAAAATACATATACCGGGCGGCGGGCCATCTTTATGTCTATTTAATTAAACTTGTCTCCAGAAATGGTTAAAATACATTTTCCTACTCTATGTTTAGCGAATTAAATTTTCCACCCCGGAAACTATCTTCAATGTTTTCCATGAACCATACTATACTTACTCACCATCTTACTAACCATCTTACTATCCTTTATAAATATAACGCATAGTACTGGTACTATATGCATAGTACGGGTACCATGTAAAATTTTAACAAAGGTTGTATGGCAGTTAGTATAAGTGGTGAGTAAGCATAGTGTTTTTCGTTTTCCATACTCAAATTTGAAGATTAACTTTCAAGGCCAAAGGATATTTTTGTCATTTTACTGTGATACATATATTTAGGAATAATACTTTGGGTACTAATGGATGGGTACTAATCTGTGTACTAACTAAGGCATAGTACCCGTACTATGCGCATAGTACAGGTACTATGCCTTAGTTAGTACACAGATTAGTACCCATCCATTAGAACCCATAGCATCACTCTATATTTAGCACTAATTCGAATCCTAATCTCTTTATTAAAACTTATTAAAAGATATATAATAAAATGTAGCCGCACAACTCATCAAGTCCAGCCACGCTAAATCAGACCGGCGACACAGATCTCGACATTACGGTGGCCGACGACACCACATCTCGGCCTGGCAGAGACCAACGACCCTTATCATGGCTTGGTGGCGCCCTTCAACAGCTGTTTCCACTCGACTTGCCTGCGATTTGACTTCCTTCACCGGCGATCCCTACCTTTTAGTCGTGAATTTTCTTTTAGGTTTGTGACTTTATTTTTTCTTTTTAATAAAATTTGCTTTAGTTATTGACATTTAATTTGGTGTTGAATGTGGTTGTGAGATGGTGGTGTATGGAGTTTGATGAAAAAGGTTAATAAATTTTATTGTGGTGGATTAACATGTTTTGTTCTGGTGAAAAATAAATTTCTGCTGATATTTTATTGAGTTTCGCTGGACTTCTGCTGGGTGGATTTTTTGGATTTGGATTAATAAACACAATTTGAATTAATTTGATACTAATTTAGAGGCTTTTTTTTTTTTTTAAGTTATTTCGAAATAAATTATTTTAAAATGATTTATGAGGGTAAAATGATTTAGAACTAGGGGTGAGCACGAGTAGCGGGTAGAATTGAAACCTGCAGGTAGAACCGGAATCGAAATCGGAACCGACACTGTGTAGGTAGGTTTCGGTTCCCTTTTTTTGGAATCGATATTGTTCGGTTCCGATTCTGATTTCTACATGTGAAGAAACCGGAACTGGAACCTGAAAAAAGAACATGCAGCGGGTACCCTGTTTTGGAACCGGGTTGAAAAAATATCTGTGAAGAATGGGGGTTCTCTTGTAATTTTACATATAAAAAAATTAAAATGGAAAAAAGTTAAATTTTTACAATAACGTAATTAAATAAATATACAATTATACTTATTACATATAAACTATACCATATAGAAAATTTTAATATATTATAATATATTACTATTAAAGTTTTGATTAATTAAGTGTATAATTGGGATTATGACCAATTAAAAGTATTTTAATGTTATTAAAAGAATTATTTTTGAATAAAATAGTATATTTGATTGAATAATAATATAATATTTAGTTATTTATTTCAATTATCAAGTTCTAAGTATATCTGTAATAAATTAGTAATTAATTAATTGTATAAAATAAATTAATAAACGTTAATACATTACTAGTTAAATGATTACTTAATCAATTATAAAATTATATTATAGTTAAATGATTAGTTAATTAATTATAACATTCTATTATAAACATTAGTACAATACTTAACTAAATGATTAAAAAATTAATTAAGTATAATATTATATTAAAGATTTAAGATATGATTACTTAATTCATTATAGTATGATCACATAATTAATTATAACATTACTTAATTAATTATGACACATATTATAAACATGAGTAATTTGTTACATTATCATAATACTCAATTAAATGATTAGAAATTTAATTAATTATAACATTACATTATAAATTTATAATATGATTACTTAATTAATTATAACATTACTTTATAAAAAATTAATTATTTAATTAAATGATTAGTTAATTAATTATAACATTTCATTCTGAACATTAGTACAATACTTAATTAAATGATTAGAAATTTAATTGATTATAATATTATATTAAAGATTTATAGTATGATTATTTAATTCATTATAACATTATATTACCGTATGATCACATAATTAATTATTACATTATATAATGAAATGATTACTTAACTAATTATGATATTATTTTATAAACATTAATAATTTACTACATTAACACAATATCTAATTAAATGATTAGAAATTTAATTAATTACAACATTATATTATAAATTTATAATATGATTACTTAATTAATTATAATATTCTATTATAAACATTAGTATAATACTTAATTAAATGATTAGAAATTTAATTAATTTAAACATTATATTATAATTAAATAATTACTTAATTAATAATAACATTACATTATATTATAAGCACTTAATTAATTATAATATTACATAGGTAAATAATTACTTAATTAATTATAAATTTATAATATTACATTATAAATATTAGTAATTTACTACATTAGTACATTGCTTAATTAAATGATTAAAAATTTAATTAATTATAACATTACATTATAGATTTATAGTATGACTACTTAATTAATTATAATATTCCATTATAAATATTAGTACAATAAATTTAATTAATTGATTAGAAATTTAATTAATTATAATATTAAATTATAGATTTATAGTACGATTGTTTAATTAATTGTTTGTATCTTGGTTTTGATTGAGGAATTTTATGTGAATTGTGATGAATTGATTGAATTCAAATGTTGCCTAGAGATTAGAGGATTTATGAGTCACATTGGACACCAATGAATGAGTAATCAAAATTTGTTAGGGGTATATTTGTAAACGTTTAAGGTATTTTTGTCATTTTTTAAATTAATAGGGGGGTCATTTATTTTTTATAGGATACCCGAGAAAGGAACCAGAGCCTACATTTTAGGTTTCAGTTTCTTGAATTTAAGAAC